AAGGCAGTCGCTTAACCAACTGAGCCACCCAGGCGCCCAACACTCAATTTCTTTTAACCCCTCTTCAGCCCCCATCTCGGTAACCACTTGATTGACCTTAGGCCACTGAGATCTCTGGGCTCCTGACTTTTGAACTTTCCTGCTCTAATATTCCCTTAAAGAATTTTTTTAAAATTATGTATGCCTTACACATTTTTAAGTCAACAGCTAACATTTTTAATCATAAGTTTAAATATTGCAAAGAGTATACTTTCCAGGGAACTGTACATACTCACCTGTTAAAAGTCACATCACTCTTTCAAATGTAGCAGATGGAATTTAATATACCATAACCTTTTTGTATCCACAATGCCTTTTTAATAAGTGAGCAAGCCCTTTAAACAATCAGCAAATTTAACTTATATTTCTGTTTAGTTTTTTTCATCCCACTCTCCCTACAGTTTTATCCTAATGAAATACATTTCCATTGTATCACTTTTTTTTGGTATTTTGTTGTATTTGGGGGAAGTCCTTTTGTATATCTCCGTAACAAAAATATGTATATAAATTGAAATTTATTTCCTGTGACTATAAGACCCTAAGTGTTAAAAACAGTTACTCTGCAGTGGTTTTATTATTACAAGACACAATTTGTCAAAACTATAAATATTGACGGTAATGATTAAACAGAAAAGTAAGTTTTTATTTAAGATGCATCTCTTAAGTGAGATGGAAAGGGCTGATCTGTTCCCCACTAACTTATTTGGTGACTCCAGGAAGAGCACTCCGGTCCTGTTCAGGGTGAGCAAGAGAGCTGGGCCTTTCTCCATCTAGAGGGAGAAGTGCAGTTAGTGGAGGCAGGTGGAAAAGGAAAACACAGTACAGTTCTCAGGCAGGTTCATTTTAGGAAGGGATACATACACTTCTGGAAATTGATCCTTTAGAACTTAGTCCTGCCCACATGCCTTTAAGAAAGTTTTCATGTTCAGCCAGGAGTGTGCAAACCATAAGCTATTAAAAAGAGACTTAATTTGGTTTCTCATTGTCCCAATAGGGGTTCCAGAATGGGAGAAATGTGGGTCTGAATGTCCTTGTTACTCTGATAGTTACATTTCCAACTTCCTCCTGCTAAGCTCCACATCCTTATGCATATGGACAAGACAGGAACTCAGATTACTTCCAGATCTCTGTAGGTTTGTGCTCTGAGGAGGACATCTCAATATTCAAAGACCTAATCGTTGGCAAAGAAGCAGCCAAGAGTCAAAATTAAGAAAACACAGATTTTATTTTTCCTTTTCATGGCAGTACCATCATGGTCTCCCGATCGTTCCCAGCTGTAGGCCACCAGGTGGCAGCAAAGAACACGGCGCCACCAGCCTGGCCCCAGGAGCCCCAGGGGTGGGGAAGAGGGAGGAGGTGGGAAGCAAGTAGAGGGGAGAGGACTGGACATGAGGTAGGGGTGTATGCTTTAGCTGTCAGAGAAAAAAGGAGAGGAAATGTGGGGCGGATCTCAAGAGTAGACAGAAAATATTGAGAATGACACTTTCAGAGTTCAGAATAAAACTGAAAGAATGAGGAAGGAAATTGAGGCTGATGGGAGAACTGAAGAGGAATCAGGGTACAGATGGGCTTGAGGGGCACTCCGCCTGGAGGCCCAAGATGCCTCTGGGGGAATCCCTTTATCTGTACTCTTCCCGGGGTGGGTCAAGGTCTGGGTCCTCTTGAGATCCATGGTCCACTTCAGGGGCAGGTGGCCAGGGGTTTTCTGGAGGCTGGGGTCCTGCTGGCCAGGGGTCATCAGGTCGGGGAGGTTGAGGGGGATCAGTTCTCGGGGGCTCAGGAGGCCAGACTCCAGATCCCGGCAGGTCTCTCCAGGGACGACTGGGGCCTGGAGGGGGAGGGTCCTCAAAGAGAGGGGGTGCCCCTGGCCAGGGATCACCAGGGATTGGGGGTCCCTGAGGCAATGTTGGGGAGCCCTCCTCCTCTCCAGCCTCTGTGGGTGGGGGTGGGGGGTGCTCTCCACTGCCTGAGATGCCTGTGGAGGAAGGAGGAGAAAGGGAAAAGGTGGTGAGGGCCAGATCCCTCCTCCGCCAGCTACAGACTCCAGGAGCAGAGCCTCTCTGGGGTGGACCACAGCCTGAGCTGACACCACAAACAAACCTGAAAGGTAACTCTCAAAGAGCTCTCCACACATTTACAAAATACCCAAGTGATCTTAAAATGACATAAAAACCTTGACCGGAATCATTAACTTGACCAACTCTAAACGGACGGGAGCTGACATAAGCTCCATCCAGCCGTGGTTGGGACTCCTACTGGCATGGCCTCTGTGCTAGTCTACACCTCCAAAGCCATCCACACCTTGGGCCCATGTGGCAGCCAGACCCCACCCTCTGCAAACACATCCACCCTCCACACAGTCCTCAGCTGTGATGAATACTCACCCACACACCTGGATTCAGATCTAAATTGCCACACGTATCTACTCTTGAACCAGCAAAAACATTGAGCTAAAATGCACTTTTCTGCATCACCTTCAACCTCTTAACTCTTCCACTCATGCGAAAACCCAGAATCTTCAGGAATCTCCTCCAACCCTGTGCATCCAATTCACCCTTGCCTCACTTGACATTGCAGCCCCGGCCTGCTCCCCCCAACTTACCTCCGGCATACAGGTAAAGGACCAGGATCCCCAGCAGCTTCCAGTTGAGCATCATGGCTGTCTCCTGGCCCCCAAAGTTGGGGGTGGGCCGAGCCTAGGTGCCTGGGAACCCCAAGAGGCTTTATAGGGGAGGAGTGAGAGGAGGTGTCCAACCTCTGGGGAGGGGTCAGCCCGGTGACACAAGGAATCCCATCAGAACCTAACTGGTCAAACCTGTTTGCAAGGCCACGGCTAATGCGTAACCTCTGACTGCGGCGTCCCTCATTTTGGAACCCAGCCACCCCAGCCCTATCAATGACCTAGACCTTGGTCACCCCACCCGTGTTCACATCCTCCTCCACACGCACCCTGCAGGAATCAATACCCAGCTGTCATCTCTATAATCACAAGGACTTCCACCTTTCATCCCTTGAAGCCATTGGAAGCCAAGGAATGGGAGCAAACCATGCGTGGGGAAGCAGTGTAATTACCGGGGCCAGGAGGCAGGACGCCGGGGCAGGAGCAGGGACAGGTGCTCCTTTTAAACACACAGGATGCAGCTAGAATGGTCTCAGCCGGTACCCCGAGCCTCCCCCTTGGGACTGTTTTGTCCCTGGAACTTCCACTCCCCTCAGGACTGGGCCCAACGTGGTGCTGCTTTCTAGCATGTGCCTCCGTCAGGCACCCAGGGGGCCTCCCAAGTGGTGACATCCAAAGAATTTCAACCAGGAGCCACCTGGGGTAATGGCAAGTGAGGAAGTATGAGGACATCCTGATTCCTAATCCCCACCCCAGAGCAGGTTCCAACAGTCACAGCCCAGCGGCTCAGGAGGAAGCTGCCTCTGCTTCCTGTCCATCTCCGTCTCTTCCTCCTCCCTCTGGAATCCTGCTCCGCGCTGGCTACTGCCCTGGTCCTTGGTGCCGGCTCTCTGTGCCCTCCCCACCCCCGGCCTTCAGACCTCAGTCCCCGTCTTGTCTAAATCTCTCTGAGACCCCCTGGAACCTCTTCCTCAGGAAGGCCTCCTCTGGTCTGGAGGTCTAGCGCGCCTCTCAGAAGTAATGCCTCCCAAACAGAACTCCTTTCCCCCCCAGGCTGTTCTCCGCCTGGTCTGCTCCCTCTGTGGCTCACTTCGAAGCCTTCATTCTGCTCCTTGCCCCCACCCCACCCCACCCCCCCCAAGGCAAGCCCAGTCCATATCCCCATCTGGAGCCCCTCTCTCCCCAGCCTCCCCAGCACCCTCCTAACTGGTCCCCCTCTTTCCTCCCTCCCCCACCCACACCCCATCCTCCATAGCCAGCCAACCTAGCTCTTAAACATGTCAGCCTAATTGCGTGGCCGCTTCTGTTTGATAGGTACTCCAAGGGCTTTCTACTGACTTAGAATAAACGCCCCACGCTACCGGCTCCCCCACCCCGGGCCTCTGCCCGCACCACTGGCTCCTCACGGCAGGCAGGTCTCCACACGTCCCCTCCTCAGGGAGGCCTTTCCGGTCCCCTCACCTAGCCCCGCCCCCCCAGTCAGATTCTGTCCCGTCACTGTAGCTTTTCTCTTCATGGCAACGCTTGCCTGGTCAAGCCCACCACTGTGGCCCCTGAGCAAGGTCACTGGCTGGCTCTGAGATTCCCAGCGAATGAATGAGTGATGTTTTATATTCCTTCCTCCTGGCACTGATCATCTTCCAGAGGTAAAGAGTTTTCAAACAAAAGTTGACAATAAAAAAAACTGGAGCTTCTCAAAAAACCTGCCAAGCAGCCTGGGAAAGGGGTTTTAAAAAAGGTACCACCACCTAGAGAAATAGTTGCATGGGACCACTTCTCGCATTTTCCAGACAGAGATGGCCGCAGGGCGAACTCCCTTCCATTCCCAGAGAGAACATGGCACCTACTGTAGTCATCTTTATTAAGCCACAGGATTCACAGGCATTTGGTGGCTGGTGTCCATGAGGGCAGCTGGCTGACCTCCCTGCCCCCACCCCCCTTGAGCCCCCAGCTGCGCAGTGTCTGGCTGCTCAGCGGCAGACTGGAGCAGGACAGTTCTGGTTGTCTCCTTGAGAGATAGCTTCCTCTTTGGAAATGGCCTCACTCAGGCCCTGCAGATCATCGAGCAGGACAGAGAGGGATCCTGGGAAAGAAGACCCCAAGGGATAGCAGCCGGACCAGAGAAGGCTGTGGCAGCTCTGGTGCAGAGAACGGGGCTGCCATCAGATGGGGGGGTTATGGGGGGAGGTTCTCTGGCCCAAGGCGGGCATGGATGAGAGAGGCTGTGGGCCTCCAAGGGTCACGGAGAACGATGCTCATGCATTAAGAGTGCCTAGAGGAGAGATTCCTAAAGTCCCACACATTTGTCCCTTCCTACATGGACCATACCTTTTATGGACTCCCTGGTGGGGGGCGCTGCTGATGGAGGTGCAGGTGCTGAAGACCCTGGGGCCCGGGGGCTGGACTCCACAGACTTCCCCTTATCCAGCAGGTTAGGAAAAACTGCCAACAGTCGCTGCTGCTTGTAACGGGAGAGGAGACCCTCCTGCTGCAAGGTGGCCTGGGAAGGAGAGAGTTAAACGCCACCTAGCCCAGGCAGAGCCGCCCCTCCTCCTTCTCCCCTCCACTCCCCAGCCAGCTCAAGGGCCCTGGCCTCTGCTCTCCCCTACCAGCATAAAGTTCTTGTCCCTCTCTAGCTCCTGCAGGCGCTGGGTCAGCCGCAGCCCCTCCTCCTTCCGGGCCTCATCTTGCAGGCGCCTGAGCTCCTGGTTCCGCTCCTTCTCCCGGGTGGCTTTGCGCTGCATCTGGCGCAGGGAGACCACTATGTGGAAGCCAGGGCACAGAGGGCACAGGTGTGGGGCAGCCCAGAGGCAGTAAGGCACCCTGAGAACAGGACTGGAATCTTGGGCAGGAACACTGGGCCCTGAGCTCTACGGCTCAAGGAAGCCATTTAATGCTCCCGGGCTGTCTCCTCTGTATGGTGGGAGCAGTGGCTGATGCTCTAGGACCCTCTGACTCCGTGAACCCAAAGTACCTTCCCCATCCCTGAGCCTTCCTGGAGCCGCTCAGGGGAAATCTGAATATGAACTGGATATTCGATTTTGTGCAATTAATGTTTCCTTAATGTGTGACAATGACCCTGAGGTTATATAAGAAAATTTCCTCTACATCGAAGTTATATCCTCTTTGTAGGAGATGCAGCTCGGTGATCATGATGTTTGTAACTTACTTTAAGTGATTCTCCCAAAAAATGCACGTTATCAGTGTACATGTATATATGGATAGAGCAAATATGGCAAAAGATTAATAACTGCCGGGTGCCCGGCTGGCTCAGTCACGGGAGCACATGACTCTTGATCTCGGGGTTGTGGGCTCCAGCCCCACGGTGGGTGTAGAGGTTACTTAAAGAAATAAAATCTTTAAAAAAATTGGTTAATAACTGTTCCATCTAATCAGAGGAGGTACACAAGTGGGCATTATGTGGCTCTTGTAATCTGTCCAGGTATTTGAACTTTTTCCTAATAAAACGGGGAGGAGCACCTGGCTGGCTCAGTCGGTAGAGCATATGACTTGATCTTGGGTTTGTGCGTTTAAGCCCCATGTTGGGTGTAAAGATTACTTAAAAATAAAATCTTAAAAAAAAAAAATTGGGGGTAGACACGCACAGCAGAGAACACCATGTAAAGATGGAAACGGAAGGGAGTGATGTGCCTACAAACCAAGGGATGCCACAGATTACCAGCAACTACTGGAAGAGAGGAGAGAATCATCAAACATAGTCTCTCAGAACCTCTAGCAGGCAACCAACCCTGTCAGCATCTTAGTTCAGACTTCTAGCTTCCAGCTTCCAGTACTGTGAGAGAATAAATTTCTATTGTTTTAGGGGAAAAAAAAAAA